AACAGCAGAACAAGGATAGCACAAGGGAAACAATAAACCTTAGCCCCCTGGACTGTAAAAACCTAAAAGACCATTTGATACATATTTGCCTTCTCAGTGCAGCCTTGTATTACATCAGATGAAACCGTGAAAACCCTAGGAGAGAGGTAGCACCACAAAAAGGGAAAGTGTTAAGTGAGGGCATTTATTTCCAAGGCATTTTGTCGCAAATTCAAACTTTGGCTGCATTTTAGAAAGAAATAGCACACACCCGTGGGCAAAGGTCCAGCTCATACCCTTATTCCTCATCAGCTTGTCACTGATGCTCGTCAGCATCGGGACCGACCTGGTTCCTCTGCCTGAACTGCATCACTGGGAACATTTGGCCTTGGGAATTGATGTGAAAATCTCAGGTTTTCGAAGAAGCTGAGCTTTAGCTGCAGTTCACAGACAAAGTGCTGTTTGTTTGTGTCTCTGTTCCATCTTGACTTTTCACATTTGTCAGGAGAGAGTGCATGAGATGCAGTTGCAATATGGATAACATTGGAGATGGGTTTATGTGCTGACAGCTCCTGGGAGAGGATCAGAAGCCAAAAGGTGTGGATGGTTATACATGTGGGCTTGGCATGATGGGTTTTGTGTGGGGCTTCCCATTCGCAGGTCTAGAGAGAAGAAAAGGGTTTGATTACTCTGATGTGAAAGGAAGAAGAAGGCAATTAATGTATGATGAGCTGCTGAGCTGGTTTAACCTTGGTCTGCAGCCAGGGACCTCTGAGATCAGCTGCAAAGTGTTCCTAAATCCCCTTCTGCCAACAATTCAAGTAGTGACAGCCAGCACTGGGACTTTCTTATGATACACTGCTAATCAGTTCTTACAGGGATTAAGAAAACCAGGGAGTTTGGAAATTTCTCTCTGCCTTGTGAACACTCTTGTCCTCTCATCAAGCCTTTCTCCACAGTCAGAAAGGAATGAAGAAAGAAGAGCTCAGGGTGTGTTTTTTGCAGCTGGGGAAGCTGTTTATCAATTCATAGGACTTTTTCTTGTTGCAAACCAGTTGCCTGCAGAGCAGTTTAAGAGGAGGCTTTCCTGACAGCCAAAATGCACCCAAAATGCTAGAAATGACTGGTGTCCAGCAACTGATGGTTTTATGCCGATCTGAGATGGAGATTTGGCACCTGTTTTCACTGAAGATTCATTTGTGGTGGAAAAGGAATCCTTCAGCTGCCAGCAGAAGGCCAGATCGCTCTTTAATTGAGTGAATTGCACTATGAACTTCCAAAGAGTTTCACTTCAGTAAATGGGAACTGCTCGGAGCAGAAGGAGTTTCCTCTCTAAACAAAAGCTTAAATATGCCACAACTGCTTAAATCAGAGCTGTGCCATGTTAGTGCTGCTGAAGGCAAGGTGTCCTTGAGGAGAAGACTTCCTGAAGCCCCTGTAAGCCAACGGCTCCTGAGTGAATTGCACTATGAACTTCCAAAGAGTTTCACTTCAGTAAATGGGAACTGCTCGGAGCAGAAGGAGTTTCCTCTCTAAACAAAAGCTTAAATATGCCACAACTGCTTAAATCAGAGCTGTGCCATGTTAGTGCTGCTGAAGGCAAGGTGTCCTTGAGGAGAAGACTTCCTGAAGCCCCTGTAAGCCAACGGCTCCATCAGAGCAAAATCGAAGAGCTCTGCAGGGTGTGTTTTCGCCCCAGGGACAAAACATCCTTGCACAGGGCTGGCAACAGGGATTGAGATAAGTGAAGAATGCAAACACCATCCTGAACAAGGCTGTGATCATTTAGCCTTGGAAAGGCAGGCGAGGATGAGAAGAGCACTGGGTATTACAAATATCCATCATAAAAACAACAGGCTGTTCCCTTTTTTCAGACAGGTTAGAGAAAATGCAATCTGCCTTTCAAACAATAAAATTGTAGGGATCCATTCTCTGTTAATATCGGGGAGGGAAGTTCTTTCTGAGTCATTGTGTTAACTTGGACTACAAAAACCAGCTACCTTTATTTCTATGAAACCCATGGATGTATAAAAATGAACATGAATATTTCTGATTTAAAAGATGATAGTATTTGCAAAGAATGAGGTTCCAGGGGAGCGAATGTGCTGTTCCAAACTGTCTAGGCAGTCCAGCTTTTCCAAGCACTGTCCCAGCACTGCCTGACTGGAGTAATAGCAGGGATTTCTTGGTGGCTCTCTTGCCTCAATCCCTAGGGCACACAAGGCTTGCAAAAGTGCCAGAGTGGTTTTTCCCAGAGCAGGAGGCATAAGGAACTGGGTGCAGGGAGATCGACTTGGGGAAGCAAAACGGTCATGGGCAAAAGGATTTCTTCCTCCAAACTGGCAAATTGCAATTCTCATTCTGGTTGTGTTTTCCTGGTGACTCAGGCTGATGGGTGGGCTGGGGGAGGCAGGAGGGAAGCATAAAGAAAATGTTCCTGTGTGCCCTAGAAACTTGGGTACCTCCAAATCTAGAGCTATCTGCACTGTTGTTTCTCAGGAAAGTTATCCAGGGCTGCAGCAGCCAGAACTACTGCTCCTTTGGGAGCACAGAGATGTGGTTAGTTCTGAGCATTAGGTGATGCTCTGTGTTTTTGGGCTGCATCAAGCACCTCCTGCCTTTCTGTTTTGTATCTACTGCACCGTCAGGGCTCAGTCATTTGAAGTACTTAATTGTAAAAAACCCAAACAAAACCCCCAAACAAACAAAAAAGACCAAACAAAACCAAAAATACAGGAGAAGAGAATCTTCCCTCTCCCTTTTGCCCTTAGCTCATTGCACAGCTTCCTGCCATCCACTGTCTATTGGATGAAGAATTTTTAGGTTGCTTTCTGGCATCTGTTTGATCATCTGAGCGTGAGGTGTTGCTGAGTTTAAAAGAAAATGCCAACATCTGTCACTTACTAACCTCTTACACCTGCATCTTCGTCTTCTCGTTTCTAAAATGAGAAAGAAAATGCTTTAGTTCAAAGATACCAAGTCACAGCTCAGTAAATAGACTGTGCCATGAGGTAGAGCTGCTGTTCTCTAGCAGCTTCTATCTTTAAGACTAACAATGGATAGACCAAGCTTATTTCTGAGGAAATCCATGCCAGAGAGTGGTGCTGCAGCTCATGTTTCCCCAGCAATCCACTTCAGTATTTTCATGAATTAAACGCTAAGGTGAGGAACAGTAGCAGCAGGGTCAGCCTGGGAACACTGAGGGTGAATTAGTTTCATTTGCTGCCTCCAGTGTCTTTGGAATGTTGCTGAAAATCCCTCAACAGTGATTAATTTTGACAGCAGGTGAGCAGCAATGATGCCACACCATATGCAACCAAGTTGAACGATGCTACTCCCGGTTTTGGCATCTATGTCATTGCTTTGGGCTGCATTCAACAGAATACAGTGTGCAGACATTAACTTTGACCCATGGTAATAATCTGCCCTTGAGGGCTTGAGCTGTTGCAGAAATTAACTGCAGCCAATGCTTTTCACTGACCATTTACATCTACATTAAAAGGCAGAAACAAATCATTGAGTGCTGTTTGTAGGTTAACAGTGTTTCAGGTCACTGTAACAAGCCCCTGATGCCTTCAGAGGGAGTTTGGTCCATGGAATTTGGAGCTCTGGACACTGGGCTGCATCATCAGCTACTTTCCTCAAGAAAAATGATTCTTGGCTGTGAGTCATCAATGCTTTTTCATGTATCTCTTCCTATTGCTGCAGATTTTGGTGATTAGTACTATTTAGGGCTGAAGGATGCTGAGAAATTGCACTTTTTTTTTTTCCAGTGGGTGAACTTGTAAATTTTTTGGTATCAGCTCCAGACTGCAGGGCTGACCCTGCAGTATGGAGGATCTAGTTATGTTAATACAACAGCAAAACTGCTGGTGTTGAGGCAAACGAGCTGTGCTGGTTTAATGGAGTTGGTGTAACTGCTAGGGGTATTGGAAAGTTGAACTGGTTTCAGTGAGTGTTAAATTGAGTTAAATCACTTGCACTCACTGCTTGCTCAGGGTAATGTAACTGGGTTTCCATTCCAATGAAATGTCACCAAAAGACTTCAGCTGACCCAGAGATTTTGCATTATTGCTCTAACTGTGACAGTCTCTGAACCTGTGTGATTAAGTTACTCATCTGGTTACACCTCCAGCTGCTTTTGGTAGTCTTAGCATGTATTGCGTCATATTTACCCCATTTGGTCCGAATGTTTCAGGCTCTGGTACCTTCTGACACTCCAATTTGAGGATGGTAGAGCAAATAGAGTTGACAGAGTAAGTTTTCTCTATTTAGAATCAATTTTTTCCCCCTAAAGGTCTTTTGAAACACAAATATTTTACTGATGCTATGATTCCAAGTTGATAATTATTTGTCAGCCTAAGCCTGCTGTTGAGGAAAATACAGAGGCTGACTTTCAGAGTGTTCCTTCTCTTGCATGGACTGTGTTCTGGTTATCTGAGGCTTCCCAAAGGAGATCACTAGAACACCCATGGCCCTGAGGGACAGGGCTGTGGTTTCTGGCTAGAGGTGTATTGACAGGGGGTTATGGTGAGTCTTACGTTGACACAGAACGATGGTGATGGTGAGGGCAATGAGGAGCAGGAGGCAGGAGGCTGCCAAGGGAGCCCAGATCATGATATCACAGAACATCATCAGCTTCTTCTCCATGCTGGAATCTGCAGGAATAGAGAAGAGGATACGTCTACCAGGTGCTCATGTCTGGTGTTACAGCCAGTTCTGGTGGAGTCCAGGGACCTGCCTGGCATTCCACAAGGCTGGCAGTGAGGCAGAGAGCTTCCCTCAGTGATATTCTCCAGTCATGCTGCTGCTTTCAGTGTTTTCCTGGAGACTTGATGTAGGGCATATAGCCTAAAGGTTTCTGGAGTCTCGTGATGAGGTAAAAACCAGCCTCAGCCCCCAAGGCTCTACCCTCCCACGCCTCTTGATGGTGTGCACAGGCAGGAGACATGCACATGCTTTTTACTTCATCCTTATACTTTCCTATGTAGGATGAATTATTGGAGCTACATCCTTCCAACTCTGATAAATCTCTACGGATTTTCACTCTCCTGTTATCCCAAAATGCCTGCAGGGTCCCTTTTGATATCAGTGGAACAGAGTCCTTTTCTTCCCCTCTCCCTCCGTGGATCCAGGTTACCTGGATCCGGGGTCTTCAGGTAGGGGTCCTTTTCAGTGATGCCACGCTGGGTGGTGGGTTCTGGTGCCATGGGTTCTGGTGTGGTGGTGACTGTAAGTGAAAATAGATAAACTCAGCTTGTAAGAAGCCACAAAAAAGCCTCTCTCTTCCTGCCTTTCTTCTCTCTCACCGCTACCAGGGCACAGCTGTTCCTGTGCATAGGGTAATGCTCAGTTCCAGGGGGACTCCATAGACCCCATTTTGTATGGTGACTCTTGCAGGGAGCATCTCCCAAAAGCCATTAAGGACCTGCAGTCTCTTCATTTCTCACTTTCTGCCACCATCCTCAGACAGCCTGAGTACCCTGAGTTGTGTGACCTATGTGAGGTGTTTAGGGAGGGAGTGGTGGTGGACTTTGATTTAGTTTTCTCCCTCCAGAGCCATGGATGGGATGGATAAGTGGGGATGGGGAGATGATGCTGGGTCTGCCCAATCACCTCTGCCTCCAGGCAGGAGCAATACCACAAGGAGAGTTGGCAAGCTGGGAGCCTCTGGCAGGAGCAGCAGTGCCTTGAGTGCAAGATGCCTTGGGCACCAAGCAGGGAGATGGGGTTTGTGGGAGAGGTTAAAAAAGGCAGAGACAGGAGGTGCTTGGTATTTTGTCAGAGGTAAGCAAGGCAGGGTGGAGGTGCTGCTGACCTGGGAAGAAGACAGGCTGGCCAGGGCTGAAGTACATCATTTGGTTGTTGATCATGAGGCAGAAATATTTCCCCTGGTCCTGTGGTGTGAAAGATTTCACTACCAACCGATAGAAGCTGTTGTCTCTGCTTGCCTCGAAGCGTGGGGATGTCTTCTGATTGCCCTCAAAGGTGACTCGGGACAGGGAAGAGATGAAGACAATGAAGTGAAGGGTCCCAGCCTTGTCCTGGCGGATCCAGAATGTGCCACTGTCCCTGTCAGTCTGGCACTCCATCTCCAGCCTCTGTCCCAGCTGGAGGTGTGTGATGCTGTTGCGAAACCTGACCGTCAGCTCATATCTTTGCCCGTGAATCCCAGGGCAGCCTGCAGGAGGGAAATCCTTGCTGGAACCACTTGGGAAGATCCATTGGTTTGTCTGGACAAACCTCCTTCCCTGCCCACTGTGTTTGAAGTCAAGTGCAAAGGTAGGACCATGCTGTCTGCATGACTTGAAGGTTTTACTGGAGTCCTTGCTGGGATTGTGCATGAAGGGTGCTCAGCAATCATCCACTCGGAATTTGAATTTGTGTGCTGCCCTTACACCTGCCTTCTTAGGGGTGTTAACTCTTCCCATCTTAACTCAAGCAACTGTCTAAAAACACTGACTGTTAGATCCCTTTCTTTTCCCCCTTCTCCTTCCATTTCAGAAGCACTTATCCGTCCGGGTTCCTTTCCTGGTTAGCATGGTGCTGCTGCCACCCCTTTGCTGCCCTATGCTGGCTAAGGGGCTGCCACATTCCCCTCCACAATTACTAAGCTCATGTCAAAGTGAGATGTTTTAGCTTTGCTTTTTTCCCCCCTTTATTTAGCCCAATTGTTTGGATTCAGTCGAAGGGATTTCCTTGCCTATCCCGGTGAATAGTATGCACATCCCTGTGTCCATACTCACAGAGTCCCAGAGCGAGCAGGAGGAGCAGGGCAGCAGACCTGGCCATCTTCTCCAGGGGGTTTGTGCTTGGGGATGGTGCAGCGCAGCTGAGATGATCTTTCTGGTTTGACTTGGGAGGCTGCGTCGCTCTTTGAGAAGGATGTGATGTCATCAGGACCCTCTTGGGTAAAGAGGTGATGCTTAGCATCTCTGGGAAAATGCAGGGGAAAAATAAATTTCTGTAGTAATTCAGAAATTCTAATCCAAAATTTATGTTCGTTTGTCCTTATCAGTTCTTAACAGTGCCACAAGTCTTTCCCTTCATGACTTCCCTAGAGATCCAGCCTGATGCTGCTCATGCCTGTGGTAGGACCAGCCACCACAGCCTGCTGTCCCCCAGCCCTCGGGGGGTCCACAGCAGCTCCAGCTTCAAGAAGTTGAAGATAAGCCTCATTCTTTGCCTGCAAGCCCAGGTTGTGTTTCTTGGCAGGGATTGTGCATCTTTCACTTGAGCACACTCAAGGGGTCTCTTGTGGATGGCAGAGCCGACAGTATTTTATTTTCCAGCCAGGGAGACACAGGTGTTTCATGTACTAGATATATGTGTCATTTATCTCCAAGCACACCTGTTGCTGGCACACAGCTGGTTCTTCAGGTGCTCAATTGTTCTCTTTGTAACTCTTGTTTGGCCAATTTTTTGCAATTGCTCAGCAAAAGCTGCTCTGTGCAGGACAGGTAGTCTATGAGATGAAACCCACTGAGAGTTCTCCATCCCTGGGGTACACTTTGCTTTTTCTTTGATTTGTTTTACAACTCGTGGTTCTCTCCTCTAACCACAGGGGCTTCCGCCCTGCTGAAAAACCTTTGTAAGCTTCAACAGAGAGGGCCCTTGCTGCTGCCTCTGGGTGACCACTTGCACATGGGCATGGTTGATGCTTCCTGCAGCTTTGCACATAGAGTAACAAGAGTTTCACCAGAGTGTGAGGCACTGGGCTGGTGTCTTATTTATTTCTTACCTCTTGGCTTTCCTGTTGATTGTTTTCCTGTGTGAGGTTGTCTTTTCTACTCCCCCTTTGCAGAGAAAGCTCCTTTTTCCTGGGTCTGTCAGAAACCAGGTGCTGCTGCCTTTGCTGCCATTGGTATTGGGGCTGTTACTCAGAGCTGGGTTATGGAAAATGGAGGGACTGGGTTTATTTCACTGGGCTTCAAAGCGTGTTGTTGAGTGATGAAAGCTGCTCTTAAGCTGCTGAGATGTGTGAAATTCATACTTTTTTGAGGTTGGGGCACTTGTGATGTCTACCTGAAACAGCAGATTTTGGCAAAATAAAGAGAGCATATATTTCATCAGTTAAATATCACGCCAGGGGTCTGGATCTCAAATTCCTGTCGTGCAAATGTCAATGTCAAAAGTGAGCTAAATGTCACCTGTTAATGCTCCAGCCACCTCCATATGAGAGATCAAACGATGCTGGTTGTGTAGGCTCCTTGTGGTTCATTGGGCAGTTCATTCTACTGCTCCTGTGTAGAGTTCATCCTCCCTTTTTAATGGGATAAACTGCTCTTGGGAAGTGCCTGTCCTCACAGCCTGATGGAGTAATGTAAACAAGGAACTGAACTACAGGCTTGCCTTTTGGAAGGCTACACTTAAGTCTTACATTTTCTGAGATGCTGAAGTGGGTTGGTTCCTGCCATCCATTGAGATTGTTGTGTGCTTGCCCTCCTCCATCCCTACTACAACTGCACATCGGAAAATGAAATTTCAGAAGCGTTTTCTAAAGCATGAATCACTGGAGACCAAAGTAAAATAATACCTGATTCCTGTTTTTCAGTGTGGTTCAAATGGAAGTGAATGTGCTGGCAAATGAGGATGGGTCAAATATTTGTCCAGGTTAGGTTCTCACTCTGCAGATGCTTCACTACAGTACATGATGCATGTTCTCAGAGATGTGGTAATGGATGTGCTGGGAGAACCTGTACAATTATGGACCATCCAGGAAGGGCTACTGCCTTTCTTAGTAGGGATGTCTCACTCTTTCTTATCTCTGTTATATGCTAAATTTTATTATGAATCAGTCTGGGGTACCAAACTGGTGCCCAGAATTTCCTCTCTCGTGTGCAGAGGTGTCCTTTACCTTGGTTCTCATGGCTGACAGATTGAGCTGGTTTCCATGCAAGGCCACAGTTTCCTCTGTCACATTCAGACTCTGTGTCACAGCTCAGAGGTTTCCTTTTGCTCTTCATACACTTATTAGCTGAAGCATTTTGTGACTTACCACTACATGAAAGGTACCACCAGTCCCTCCCTGTCTCTTCTGATGCTTGCACATCATGCTGGGCAAGGGTGACATTGAGGAGTCAAAGAAGATGACTTCAGGGGTACCTATTCCTTTCTGCCACCTGCTAATAAATACATCTTTTAGGGGCAAGGCAAAAGCTTATTGTCAGTGGGAGTTGCAAGAGGGCTGTCACACATGACATTTCTTCTGACTTCTGTGTTTCGCTATTGCTTAATACAAAGCTGGTTTTATTTTGCAAAATAACAAATAAGAAAAACTAAAGCAGTTGCAATGGCAATTATCTGATTAGGAATACCTTCAGGACACAAGTAGAACCTCAGGGAAAAAGCTCTGATTTAAAATCAGTGCATGTATAAATCACTTAGATCAGTTTATATAAGTTTAATACTGATGACCAACTTCAAATCTGGGAGGAGAAGGTGGTTAATCAGATCAATTAAGGAATCTCTTCGACTTTAGCATGCTCTTGTTTGGCTATTTTTCCTCTAGACAGTACTTTACAATAGACTGTCATTGTTCAGCTGAGGACCTAAGCCAAATCAATGAAATACTAGCACTAATAACATGTTTTATTAGTAGTTTCTGTTGTAGTGCCACAGTTATAATATGACTAAGGAAGAAGAAAAAACACTCAGACAACCAGTTACTTCTGCAGAGCATCGTATAAGAGAAGTCAGGAGACCAGACAAGTTGATTAAACAGTAAAAGCTAATTTCTTTTTTTTTTCTCCAAACCCCACCAATAAGTTTCATTTTACTCACAGCTGAGGTTGCAGGGCTCTGATTGCTGGTGAACTCCAGCCTAAGTTGCTTGTGACAGAAGTTTATCTTTATATACTAAGGCCAGCCTAGGTTTGTATAATTAATACTAAATAATAAGCAGAAGGAGACCAGAGCAAGGAGATGAGACAAAATCATGCAGGGATGAGACAGAATAGTGAGGATCTGCCTGGTTTTGAATGGAGCTTGGCGGGGGGTGAGTTTAGGATTCATTTTCTCTGTGCTTCTCTGTGCATTTGACAGAGAAAACATGGGAAATAAGAAGGAGCTGGGCCACTAGAGCTGGAGGAGATGCTGAGTTTTGTATATGTTTAATTTCTTAGTCATTCTGTGGAAAGGTCTCAGGGACTTTTTTACAGGGTAAGAAACTCTTCAGTTTCTTAGTGTCAGTAACACCAGACATTGTATGGATGTCTCACAGTATTGTGCAACTGGAGGACATTTCAGGACGTGGGAGTCATGCTGAGATGGTTGGTGAACACAAAAGGAGCACCAAAATGACCATGCTCTATCAGGTCCACTGTGCTGCCCATGGTGTCTCCTCGTAGTGCTCCAGAAGGATGTGCCACTGCTGATGAGCATGTGCTGCTTGATCCCTGTGAACAGTGATAGTAACTCAGGGGGTGACACTGGACTGTGTTTGCTTTAGCACTGCTGACTCTTCCCATTGTTATCCTGTGGAGTATTTCATTAAAACTTTCCATTCCTCTTTTGAAAGGAGTAATGGAAACTTTTAATGAAGATTTCAAATTTAGTCACAAGCTTTTGTTTCAAACAGAGGAAAAAATAAAATGCTGAGCCTCTAGCACACAGCTTTTCCGGTGTGATGTTGTGGTTTATGAGCAACTTGCTGCCCCCCTTTTCTTTGCAAAGCTGCAGCACAAAAGGGGCTTATAGAATGTCAAGTGCAACTGTCACACACCAGATACTCACACTTTATCTTTCCACTGTAGCTGCGTGTTTCCAATTCAGTGGTCACTACTGCCCACTCTTCTGGGTACTCTCAGCATACACATCACGTGCCTTAAAATGCAGAATGCAAACCACAAACATTCCTGTGCTCTCATCTCTCCATGGTGTAGCCCTTTAACTGATTGCTGGGCTGAAAACCTTCGTACTCTCCATGCTTGTTGTCAGCTGAGAGTCTGATAGAAGACCTGAAGTATTACAAGTTTTCCTTGCAGAGCTTTCCCACACCTTCTCTCTTAATGCTGCAGAGCTTGTTTGTGCAGGTATTTGGTAAATTTGGGATCTGTGATAGCATCTTTTGGGGACTGGTGACAATTTACTCTGCCAGTGTCCCAGCTGGAGTTAACAGTGGGCAGGCTGTTTTTCTGCCACTCCAGTCTCTTAAATACCACAGAGATCCAGTCCAGAACTACAAAAGACCTAACGCTTTTCTAATACTTTCTTCTAGGCTTTTCTTAAGAAAAGGAAAATTATCTGTTTGGCTTTGGCTCCAGTGTATCTTTTTTTTTGTTGGAACAGTTCCAGTAGTCTTTAACTGGTGAACTGGGTTCATCATCTTCCCACAATCAGATTTCCACTGGCTTTAAGGCACTGTTTGATGGTTGTCCTCAAAGTTCAGCCCCCTCCCAGGGTCTCATAGCCTTGATGTTATCCACTCAGCCCTGGGAGCTGATTTCTCCTGCCTCCATCAATCCAGATTCTTGTCATGTCTGGTCTCCTTTCTTGCGGAACACTGACCGTTTTCCCTGAAGACCTCGGGCAGGAAATCCTGGTGGAGATACCTCAGGGAGTTTCTGGGTCCATCTGTGTGGTGCAGGAGGACTTCCCCAGAGCAGAGTATTGCTGTGCATCTTTACTGTTAAAATCTTTGAGAGGGAACTTTAGGTTCCATAGCAGGTTACAACTAGTGGAATGGAGGAAGGGTTCTCATTTCTGTTCTCCATCCCTTCTGCTGATTGTAAGTCAGTATTGAAACCTATGGCTTGCTGGCTTCATCCATTTTGTAGTCCTATTAGAAAACT